TCAGTTTAAACATCTTATGACAAGCGTTTACCACAATGACACCATACTGGTAAAAGTGCAGCTCACTTTGTCTCGAGCTGTGAGGAAGCGAGGGTCGTCCTGAAAGGCCTCTTTCACCAGCCGACTGAAGCGGTTAAACAAGGTGAGCAGCTGCTCCACATACTTCTCAGAGTCCTGAAACAAAGAACAGAAGGTGACACCGGTCAATGTGATGAGCCTGTGTATGTGTGTAAACAAGCATATAAGTGCATTATGCGTGAGACAAGATAGTAAAAGTTACACCTACTCCTGAACGAAAGGCTCGTGCTCGTTACAGCGAGACATGTTCATATTAACTGCGTCCTCCTCGCCTGAGCTGTAACGTCAGCTCGCCTAATGGTGCTAGATGAGCTAGCAGTATTGAGCATATGTGCACGCTTCCTTCTGCGCGGTGATATGGTTGGTGGGTGTAGTCCGGTAGAGAGAAAATAGTTCCTACATGAAACTTCTCACAACAACGTCTGTGTATGTTCCTGAGTAACACTGTCATGATTTCCAAAAAGAGAGATGTTGCTGACATTGTTTTTTTTGGCGCTTTGAGCACCACAAGCTGAGTGCCATCTAGTTCCATTACATGCCTTCGAGAGGAGGCCGACATCTCCAACACTAGACTGATAAATAGAACTACAGCTAAGAGGAAAAACATAATTGTTTATTTTGTCCCTTTAACATCAAGACTCAACTTGCATTCATCAGATGTCAGTTTCCCACCCGAATCACAAATGTGTATTTGAGACTCACAGAGGTGATCGTCTCTGCTGTGGCCACCATGTCGGCCAGGCCGGCGCTCATGATGTGATCCTCCAGGTCCTTCAGCATGGGCTCGATGCCGCTGGGCACTTTGTCCATGAGAGAGAACATCAGGTGCAGCTCTGCGGTGCAGGGAAAAGCAGTAAATGCTGAGCTTATAATTGTGCATTATGAAACAAGCAGGTGATGAGCTACTTTAAAATCCATTACCATGGACCCCCTTTTGTCCATTTGTCAAATCAAATTACATAAGCAAGCAGCATAATGTTAAGATCGTTTATTATAGTAATTTACATTTGAATCATGAAAATGTCTGGAACAAAAATGTTAAAGCTTGTTTTAAGAAGTTAAAGTGGATTTTAGGCACCTGTCACCTGCAAATTATAGACTGTATTTTATTTAAGTACTTTGGACTTTGGTTTGTTTTGTTAAATAAAAAGAAAAACATGGGTATATTTCTCAAGAAAAGGTTTGTTTCTGTAGTGAAATGTATTTGGCTTAATGTTGGAATAAAATATTTGCAATACTTGATAAAGCATTTTCTTTCCAGCTCTGTAAACATTCATTTGAACAAAATATATACTGTACATATATAACCATAATTAAACAATCCTCAAAGTGACTTAAAAGCTACTCAGCAGCAGCAAAATAAGTCTGATCTTCAGGACTACAACAATTTGTATTAGTTTATATTTTGGCAAATTAGCACCGTTAAAAGTATGCAGAATTAGCGATTAGCAGTTCCTGTTTGCAATGCACTCATGTACGGTCATCACTTGATTATTGTGATACTGTATAAAACATAGAAACGTGACATTTCTAAGGCAGGTTCTTGGAGGTAAAAAGAATGATTTCTGAGCGGCTTCATGTTTCTGAGAGATTAACAATCCTCAGTGTACCATCACACGTTCATTCAAGAGTAGTGGCGACAACAACAACACAATGCTGGGTAAGAGGGTTTGGTCAGGGCTACTTCCTGGTGCAAACCTGAGCTGGCTGTGCCTTTGGTGGGAGCAGTCCGTCCGTACTCACTCTCTGTCTCATTTCGTTTGATCATGCCTGGACATTCGGCTAAGATGGTCTCCTTGAATGATGTGACCAGCGCATTGACGCAACACTCCATCAACTGGGAACACAAACAGAGGGGCGAACAATGCAGCGGAAATAGATGAGAGATGTGTGCAGTACAGGAATAAAATGTAGAATTTAGGGAAATGTGATTGATTGTTATGCTTTTGATTTGTTTGTTTAAAAACAACAACTTGTTGATTGTTATGTGCTAGAGCGGGTCTCTTTTATTTCTAATTGTTTTTTGACTGAACACAAGGCATAGACTTCTAATCTCACAGTCGGAAACAAAGGAAATACCGTTATGCATATTTCCCGAAACTGTTCTTTTAATAAATAAATGTAAAAATATATACAAGTTGTTATCTAAGTAACAAAAAAATGTGTAAACGCATCAACATGAGATTAAAACTACAGCTGTTAAAACAAAAAACTGCTATAAAAATGAGTATTGCATTAATGTGAGTTGCACTTTGGAAGAGAGTGAACAACATTACGTATAACATTGTAATTAAATAATAACATAACTGTAGAACACTCACTGCCTGTACAGAGTTGCAGTCGCGTCTCGTCTCCAGGTATCGCAGCGCACGTTTCTCCTCTTCCCTCAGCTTCGAATCAGCCTGGTGATAAAACACAGTAACAGTGCATGCACTTTCAGTTATTACATGTATACACAGAAAATACTCAACGAGATCTCAAACCTGATAATAAACAAAAAGCGTTATATATATATATATATATATATATATACACACACATACATATACACATACATATACATATATACATACACATACATATACATACATACACACACACACACAATATACAGAATCTATTTCTGATGTGAAGCATTTAAATTCTGTGTGCATGAAACCCCGGAGAAAGGTACTCTATACATCTGTAATAGCAAAATAAAAAAATGTAATTAAAACATCATTTCCATTGCCTGTAAATGCAACTATGAGCACATTGGCAATCAAAAAAGAATATACAGAATACAGAATAAAAACGTCTGGGGAAGAAAAGGTCATTGAAGTAACCGTGTTCGATCTACACAAAGTGTTAAAGCTTTGTGGCCCATGCTGCGCTTTAACGGACACAACGCCTCCGTTTTGTTTGAGTAAGAGAGACACTGTGGAGAGGACAGGCATGGGGTCAGCCACGGCAGCGGATCGACAGTTTTCTCTTTTCATTCATCCAACTGGCGTTTTGCCACAATCATCAAAACAGGGAAAAGGAGCCTCAATAGAAGCCTCAAGTTTCAGCGGCCGGTGTTATCTTTACTACGGTGAGAACTGAAAGCTCTTTTCTTTCAGCAAGCTGGCAGTGGCAAAAAGAAACTCCTGAGTGGTTGGGAGCGGAGTGATTACAAAACAGAGTGATTACAAAACAGTGCAGAACTTCACGTTATCAACTGACCAACAATAGATAAATAATATAAAAACATATTCATGGCTTTGTTTCCCCCCCTTGTTTTCGATAGACTGGCGAGAAGAACATGATTCAGTTAAAGTCCATGAGTGATGAGAAACATTGGCTCTATTATATATATACATATATATATATATATATATATATATATATATA